TGTACCGCGCTCACATAGCGTGATCTTATCAGCATTATAAAAAAGATTGAATTTATTAGTAATAATAACACACAATTTAAGAGCTTAATTGCATGAAAATATTATGACGGATCTTTATACATTAAAACATAATAATTATATTCATTATATTGCAATTATAATTGAAGTATACACATAAATTTGTAGAAAATTCGTATCTGCAATTCTAATATTTTCTAGAAAAAACGAAGTTCAGGGAACTAAATAAAGGGGGCTAATTTAGTAGTTTTTACAATTTTTGACAGTCTGTTTGTCAGCCAGTCTGTCCGTCCGTCTGTCTGTCTATGTATTAACGAGTCAGGTAAAAAAGATTGGACGGATTTTCATAAAATTTAATTCTATTATTAGGACAGTTCCTTGAGTTTTATGAAATCCCTCTTTGATAACTAACATTTCAACGATACAGATTTTTAAAACTTAAACATTAGGTTTATAATATCGATATCACCTATAGTTTCCGCGCAATTTGCCACAAAGTATGACTTTTTTTATTATTTATCGATTTTTTATGCAAAGTTTAGTTCTCTTAAAAATTTATCATTTTACCGCCAAGATTTGATGACTAGAGTAAATAATAGAATATGTTTTTTAAATAGAGGTATAATTTATTTCTAAACTCTTTCATTTCACGTACTTTTAAAAATTTTATTTATTCGGCCATTCAGCGAAATGTAAATATTTGTATTTGAGCTAAAAAATTGGCAAAATAAACGGAAAACCGTTCTATAGCGGTTAGCCACTGTAGAGTCTATATCACCTGAGGATGCCTCGTGTAGAGGCGAAACACGTGTCGTATTGTCGTCAGTGGTGTGTCTTGCCTAGTGTAGTGATGTTGGGAGTAGCGGTGCTGGGATTAGTGGTGACGAGGATAGTGCACGCAATTGAGGGAGGGCGGGAGGTGCTCTTCATACTAGGTAAGACACATCATTTTATTTTATAACGCGGATATTTGCGAATTAAATTTTTCTAAAGCTTTTATAACTACCTACAGTTAGGGACCCGGGACCAACTTTATAGACTACAATAAATGAGGGTTACGTATTTACCTGCCTTTACATGTTAATTTCTATTTAAAATTATTAGTGATAAGCGGGATACGTAGTGCCCTTTTTAAATAAATATTTTGTTTATAAATAAAGCCTAAATTACTAACGGTGTAATAATTTAAAAATACGCTGATGAACTACGTTACAATTTTTCAAAAGCACCATCATCCAACATGAATTAGAAAAGGTAGTATATTTTGCCTTCAGTTACTAATAAAAGTAAATAATATTATAAATAATTACCCACAATCTAATTATTGTATAAATTTAAATAATTATATTATACTATGTTTTGAAAATTCTAACGTTATTTTTTTTAGTTTTTCGTTATTTCATTTTTATAGCGTAACATGATTTAAAAAAGGTAATAGTGACATCTGTCAAAATAATGAAATCTGAGATGGGTTTTGTTGAATAATAAACTGAATAAAACTTTTGCCATCCTTAAATTTTAAATAAAGATATTTTTTTTATATTGTGTCGTAGCCAGGTCGTAGTCATACCATAAAGTAGTTGATCTTTTCGTGAAATGGTGGCATTTCATAAAGTTTAACACTGATAATCATGTGATATGCCTTGACCAAATCAACGAATAGGGATCGTTATCAGCGATATTAACAACTATATATTAACAACCCAATATTGCAATTTCATGATATTGTCATATCGTAAAATAGTTTCATTTTTCTCTAGTGATAGTGTATTTTTAATAGAAACAAAATTTTAACAGAATCGTAGATATCGATCCAATCGCACAACAGAAAAGGAGATGTATGATTTTGGGTGCTTGAAATCGTTTGTAGCAGTTATACAAAATTATGTAGGTAAGGTACGGATACCCTTTTTACTTGAAAAGAGGTATTCCATCTTAGTTTTCACGGGTGACAACGCATCTGCATTTTGATTCGCAAACGACGATAAATATAGATGTCTATGGACCACAGCAACCACTTACCATCAGGTGAACTGTGTGCTCATTTGTCACCCAATCCTATATATATATATATTATCATCGCATCAAAAAAATAGACACTATAGCTCTACCCTTGATCATTTTTAACAGCTCTGTTTTGGAATTATGTTTTTGTGCTAAGGATCTTGGCATACACATTGACTCTACTTTGAGCTGGCATGCTCAAGTAACAAATGCTAGCCAGAATGTCACCAGTACCTTCCGGGCTCTTTACCGCCTGAAAAACGATCTTCCATCCGGGACCATAGCATTAATTCTGCAATCCTTAATTATTTCCCTGGTTGATTACGGTGATGTGTATTATTTTGACCTGAATACAGATATGTATTCTTGACAAATATGATCGTTTTCTTAATAACTGTATTCAATTCAGTTTCAATCTTCGTAAGTATGGTCATACTTACGAAGATTGAAACTGAATTGAATACAGTGTGTCTACTTATCTTTCCTAACTTAAGTGGCTACCCATTCGTCAGCGACGAAGTATGCGCGAACTAACAACCTTATTCTGATTCTGATGTCTCCTACTCCCCCCTCTTACTTAACTTCTCATTTTCAATACCTTTGCTCTTGCCATAACAGAAACCTGCGTGCTTCGAATTACCTTTTACTAAAGTGTTCCTCTCATAAATCTGGCTTCCTGCATTCTTCCTTCACGGTCTAGCCTGTTCTCCTCTGGAAGGCCCCCTCCTTTGAAATTAGAATAATCGTTATGCTTTCAAATAGAAAGATCGCGAACATTACTTAAATAAACTTACAAAATAATCTCATATGTAACTTACGTAATATCAATCCATTTTATTATTAAACTGGTTCGTAAATTTAACTTTAACTGGTTACACTAGTTTTTATAGCTCTTATATTTAAAGATTTCGAACTGGCTGCAATATTCACTTTAGTTTTTGATTCTATAAGTTATCAGTGTATTGTGGTGTTATCTCTATTGTGATGTAATTCTGCAGTAACATTACGAAAAACATTTTAGTAAGGTACTTTAAATGAATACTTTTAACTATATTTGTAATGACACAAGTCACCTATAAAAATCTAATTTTTGCGTCATTTTATTTTTCATTTTAGATTTTTCTTAGTTGAAATATTGTTTTAAAATGATGCAGAAATGCTTGATTTTGATATTTATCTCTTAATTCTATTTAATTATCTATAACAGAAAATAAATATCATTTTAAAATACAATGGTTTGATTACATAGCCGAATTTAATATTTACAATTCTTTTAATTATAATGCAAATCATTTTATTATTTATGCAAAGCTGATAAGATGATTAATTTCAGTAATTAGTATTATGATTGCTGTAATCTATTGTTGGCTTTATTAATGCACGTTGCATATATCTAGCATCATCCCTAGAATGAGATAGAATAATGGGTTCTGTTTCACAAGTCACTATGTTTTACAATAATTATTATAACTATAAATATTACTGTAATTTACCAAATGTATATATCGTTTTATGTTTTAACTTCGTCTGAGTCGCCACCACTCTATTGCCTGTTTGGGTGTTATTATTATTGTTGCTACGATTTATGGATATAGAGATTAATTATAATTACCAGCATATGACAAATAACATTTACATACTCAAATCCTGCGGAGATCCATGCACCACAGTAGTCGATTACCATCGCGTATTACAAATTCAAATGCTGCACTACACACACAAACTGAATCTGGTTTTTTGTCTCTTTACATTATATTTATGTTAAACAAACTACATCGTGTTTCAGTGCCTTAGAAAAAAGAAAAATAACTTTAAGCAAATTAATATTTTGTGTTTTAAATAGTGTGTTAATTTCATATATTGATAATATATTATTATTTCACATTTTCATCCATAGAGCGATTAGAATATCCATTACACCATATCGTCTCATGGGTGTCATAAGAGGCGACAGAGGGAAACAAACCATAGGCAGCGGCGAATTCATAACAACCAGAATGTTAAAAATTAACCCGCCTGCCAAATGTGGCAAATATGGCATGACCTTTGAGGCAATGTATGGTGGAAGTCTGTTTTCAGAGAGAACTTTTGATAAACTTTAATGGTAAAGTTTCATATTTAGGCTTTATTTCTTGCTTAAAATTAGCTACCTAAGATTTAAATTTTTATGAATATTTTGATTATTTTAATTTACTTCATGTAAAATGCTAATATCAAAAGGATACCTATTCTTTCTTCGGTATCTGTTTTAAATTTCTTAATTTTCTTTATTATTTTTCAAGTTTATTGCTCAGATGCCTTATTTTATTAGTAAATAAGATTTTAAGAAAAAATCCATTGGAAAATGAATGAAGTTGGTTAAGGGGTTAGAAGTAGATAGATATATTAGCATATATTGATGATGATGATGATGATGATGATAATATTGTATAAATATTATGCGTGCTAGAGCCGTGTTGTAATTTTATAATTATGGCTGTAACACGAATAGATCTGCTCGACCTACGAAGAACCACGCTTCACCTAGCGAAATATAGCTACTTAGTGTTTGTAGCAAACTGGGAAATCTTTTTACCATAAAAGAGGCATTCCATGTTAGTCATCACGGGTGACAACGCATCTTTATTTAGATTCCTAATAGAGGATAGATACAGAAAGTTTATTTATACCTATGGACCTAAGCAACATTTACTATCAAATAGAAAGTATGCACACCATTATTCCATAAAAAATAATTTACGCCCATAAATTATTGACAGCTTCGAATATAAATTTACACATATTTAAATTAAGGGAAGTGATTACGTTATTAATTATGGTTTGTTATTATTTGTCACAAATGGTAAAGTGTTTTTTTTTTTAATTTACGAATGCCTAAGAGTTACCGCCATTTATTATCTAACATCGACGCAAAGTTTCTTTTTAGTATATCTCCGGCACTCAGATGATCAAGTGGTTTATTTTAGCAGGTTGGAAAAATGGATTCGTTACAAAAAACCTCTCTGCTTGAATTCAATAATGATACACTTCAAATCATTCGTAAGGATTATAATTTGGACAAGCCAGGAAGTATGGATCAAGCTATCAACATTTTACATGAATGGGTGAAAAAACAAAATCATTTTGTGAAAACAGATTATCGTAAGTATTTTAAAAGTATATATTTAAGAATTAATTAGAAAACTTTTAACTGAATTATTTAAGTGTGTACCTTTGTGGCATAGTTATATCTAATTAAAATATATATTTTTTAAATTGTGGCATTTGTTAAATTTATGTATGTACACATAATATTATATATAAATATTTCACTATTCCGTATATATATAAATATAAAATTCAACTATTATGTATATATTTTGTATGTGTATGTTCGTACATAATTTCTTTGGTAATTAAAATCATTATTAGAACTAACCATGAATATCTTTTGACATTTCGTATGTGTTATCAAGTGATTTTCATTGCATTGTTTCATTGCTGTTAAATTATAAAACATTCTAAATGTCTACTACGTGTACGGTACAGGTACCGTAAACAAGCCTGTGTCTAAGAGGAAAGTTAAGAAATTTTATTATTAGAAAATTTTAACCCGGAAGCATTTTCAGAAACTTAAAATGAGAATACTAAATATAAATTCAGAAAGTTTTTTTAGGATAAGGGTGACAATCGAGCATACAGTCCACCTTATGGTAAGTGGTTGCTGTAGTCCATAGACATCTACATCTATCCTCGATTGAAACTAAAGTGCAGATGCGTTGTCACCCGTGAGGACTAAGATGGAATGTTTTTTTTCCAGTTAAAAGGGTCTCCGGTTCTCTACACTCACCATACAAAACACAGCAGCGTTAAGCTGCTATTTTACGCTGGTTTCTGTGAGAACGTGTTCCTTCTTCGGTCGAGCCGACCCATTCGTGCTACAACTATACCACTAATATAACTGCAGCGTGGTTCTACCACATCCAGAACACTTCTTAAAGTATCTCAAAAATTCAACAATTCATAAAGTATCTCCTCCGTATCTCTTATCCGTGGGTAGGGATGTCATACCGACAGGTTATCGGTACGGCATTCCTAGTGAAACATATAACGATAGAAGAAGATTTTATATCCAACAGATTTATAAACTACTTGGCTTTACATAAAACTCGCAGAACACCAGCTCATTCTTTAAAAAATGTAATAGTTTAAATTTCTAACCAAATATTTAAAACCTAGCTAAAGTACTCAATGAGCATCACGAGGATCGGAACCATATTCCTATTTTTCTGAGATAGTTTAGATCTACTCTACATTATAGTAGGTACCTTTGTCTCACCAGGCTAGGCAGTTATCATACAAAAATACTTTATACCAGGTTCTCATCCAAATATGTAATGCTTATGGATACATCATTACTTTCAAACTTAACTGAAGAAAGTGTACGGAGTGTTTGAGGAGAATAATCTTAAGATTAGTGAGAGGCTGCACATCGAATGGCTATTATAACAAAATAATTCGATGATGGATGCATGCATGATAGAACTCGTATGTCATTAAACAATTCTCTCCAGAAAAAGGATAACATACCAAAGTTGCAATTTCTATGCAAAAAAAAAATATCTTAAAAGTTTATAAAAATTATTAATGATATCGCAAAACATAGCATAATACTGCAGAGAGAAAATACACGTCAATCAACTATATATATATCATGCTACAATGAGACCGCGACAGTTATGATAAAACCAAAAAAACCGGTATCCAGACAGAATTTTAATCACTTTATATAAGAATAAGGATCAATGACCCTGGTCATTTTATAAATGAGTAGTAGCAATATTAAAAGCAAGACTTTACCCTTATCGGTGTAAGGTTTTTTTTTTACTAGAAAGTAATCTATCGTCGCCCGCAAATAATACGCGCTTATAATTACATCGAAAATACGGTAACTAAAAGAAACCTTACGATTTATAAGCCGTATTGATGTCACTGGCTTTGTAAAAATCCTTTGACAATATACTAGGCGTCGCTGCAGTTAAATGATTTAGTAAGCAAAATCCCCGAATCACTAAATTGAAAATATTGTGTGCTTTAAAATCGTAAATTTATGGTAATGAAATATTTTACATTAAAATTTTTATATGTTAAAATTAGTATATGTTCCGAATGCTGTTATAACGGTAGAATTGTATATTATTAATATTTCCCCATAAAAAGAAAAATTTTTAAATTTACCCGAACTTTCGGTTATATTTTGCAATAAAATATGTAATAATTCATTAAAAGTAGTTCTTTATAAACATTGGTTTTTATAAACAAACGTTATTTATTTTACTGATAAAAATGTATTGCTCCCGAGACCTATGCCCGCGAGTAAATTCTGATAATGTCAGTATATAGACCGCCAGCTCAATATTAGTAATAATACCTATGTATATGCGCGCAGAATGGATGAAAATAATTGAATAAAAAATTAAATAAATACAATAATATGAGGTAGAGGGAACCTGAGACAGAAGATGGCATATTTCTGATAACACTAAATTACAATAAAGAACTCGCTAAGCGTGGCAACTCTGGCAATATACCCCCAATGACAAAAGTTACAAAAAGACGGCCTCCAGTCCCCGGCGGCCCCGCTGTTCCTGGCTACAGTAGCGACCATGGTAACGGCGGGGCTGAAGATGCTAAAAATCTCCAATGAAGGTTCAGTTACCACCTAAGACGAAGCAACCTATCACCGGTATGGCGACCATCTGTCCCAAGGATGTGTCGGATTTATCGTCCACAAGTCTCTCGTTAACAACCTAGTTAAGTTTGTGAGTGTGTCAACAAGGGTTGCGTACCTTATACTCAGAATCACCAAACGGTATTCGTTCAAGGTCATACAGATTTACGCACCAACCTCGGCACATCCCGATGCGTAGGTGGACGAAATGTATGAGGATATCTCTAAAGCCCTGCATTCTTCCAAAATCTACTATACGGTGCTAATGAGAGGCTTTAACGCAAAATTAGGCAGGCACAAGAGAGAATGGCGAGCTGAGTGTAGGGAAATTTGGAATAGATCAACAGAAACCAAGGGACCAGCAGGGGGACGACTTCATGGAGTAAGAGGGACTTTTTATGATGAATGTGTTTGTACAGTAGGGCAACTATGGCTATCCGAAAACAGATCCAGAGTACGAAAATGTCATGAAGCAAATACAAAGAGGAGGCGTTGTAATTAAATTTCACTATGTAACAACGCGTGACAATTTGCGGGGTGAAGGGATTCAAAGCCCCGCCCACTTTACACTATCTACATCTACCGATAAATAGTAAAACTACTCGAATCGTTCCATATCGATGTTACAATGTAGTTTAGCTACTTTGACGGTAGATGGCTGCCTGTCCACAAAATGTTATAACTACAAAAATAATATTTTGGCGATTAAAATTTCTTTATGTCTGAATGCAATACAAATTTCAGCACCTTCGTATGATTATTTTATCATTACTGATCTCTACGTATCTATATATTTTTAGTTCACATGACACGAAGTGTCATCATCTAGTGTCAAATATATTTAATTATATTTGAAAGCCGACGCAAAGAGATTTTTTAGAACTATTTTAATAAATTGGGTGTAAAATTACTTACAAAGGAAATGTGATTTCATCCATAGCATCGGAGCGTCTTCTCATTAAGCAAATACAGAAAAAGAAATTTTATTCGCCAAAATATTATTTTTATAGTTTTTATAATAATTTTGTGAACAGGCCGCCATCTATCGTCAAGTAAACCTCATAAAAATAACAAAAAGACAGGGCCGTAATAAGAATTCAATTATTTTTCCCAGTAACCCAACATTCAATATTAAAATGAAGGAAATTGTACTTGGCTGATTTTTACGAAATGTTTAAGTTATATTTAAGTGACATTCTATATGCAAAGAATCACTTAAGTACAATTTAAATATGTTTATCATTTCGTGAAAGTCAACCTTCAAGAAATATTTATTTTATCCTTAGTAAAATAAAGTATCCTTTAAACTAAATATTCTATGTTCAATATTAAGTAGGATATTTAATTTGGAACTAAATATCCTACTTATCTCAATAATATAATAAAAACGAAAGTTTGTGTGTTTTTTCTGTCTCCTTGATCTTATTCCACACTAAGTATGTCCTGTGTATGTGTATTTTTTTCACGCAGAAACGGCTAGACTAATATTTATGTGTGGGTTATACTACTTAATATCTCTGAGGGAGAACAAATAATAGACAAATTATTATAATTAATATAATTTTATTTACAAAACAATTAAAATATAAATATTTTATTCCAAATTAGGCATCCGAATGCACTTTTTGAATGCCAATCTAAGAACATTAAATTGTAGTTAAGTGATTCTTTGCATATAGAATGTCACTTAAATATAACTTACACATTTCGTAAAAATCAGCCTAAGTACAATTTCCTTCATTTTAATATTGAAAGTTGGCTTACTGGGTAAAATAATTGAATTCTAATTAAGGCCCTGTCTTGTTGTTATTTTTATGAGGTTTACTTCACGAGAATACGGCCTGTTCTCAAAATGATTATAAACTATAAAAATAATATTTTGCGATTAAAATTTCTTTATGTCTGAATGCAAAACAAATTTCAGCACCTTCGTATGATTATTTTACCAATACTGAGCTCTATGAACCTTTATATTTTTAGTTCACATGACACAGAGTAACGCCATCTAGTGTCGAATATATTTAATTAAATTTGAAAGCCGACGCAAAGAGATTTTTCTAGAAATATTTTAATAAATTAGGTGTAAAATTATTTACAAATGAAATATAATGCCATCCATAACATCAGAGCGTCTATCTGAGTAGTTTTTACACGATAAAACACAACACTTCATTCTTTTCTTCTTAATACTACGAAAATACATCGATTTGCGATTTTTTCAACACATAAGCGCACAAGACGAATGCTGACAGTATACTAACTAAAGCCACGCCCACAATGATGACGTCAGGACCTACTTAGAATCACAGTGCACAGTTGCTTATGCCGTCTTCTCTTTGTATTTGCTTCATGCGTAAGACAGAGTCACGTTATATCCCCGAAAATCTCCACGGCTGCATTGAAAGAAGTTTTCAAGCTTCTGGACTGGAAAGATACGGTATTAACATCAATGGCGAGTACATCACTTACCTTCGATTTGCTGACGATATAGTCCTTATGGCAGAATTGCTGGAGGACTTAAGCACTATGCTCAATGACCTCAATAGTGTTTCCCAACGGATAGGCCTTAAGATGAACATGAACAAAACTAACATCATATATAACTTCCACGTCACACCTATGCCGGTAGTTGTTGCGAGCACTAAGCTCGAAGTTGTTGACGAGTATGTTTACCTGGGACAAATAGTCCGCCTAGGTATTTCCAACTTCGACCGAGAGGTCAATCGACGCAATCAACTCGGTTGGGCAGCGTTTGAAAAAATTACGACACATCTTCTCGTCAGGTATACCTCAAAACTTGAAAACGAGACTGTACAACCAGTGCGTGTTGCTAGTGATAACTTATGAAACTGGGCCGTAGTCCTTTACTGCTAGCCGTATGAGAAAGCTCAAGGAGATTGGTGGATTCGCTTACACCGCAACTGCACTGCGTCGCAATATTTATTTACATATTTCTTTTTAAATCTAATTAGTGTTTACAATTTTTCTTATCAATAAAGTGAATGTAAGTTGTTTTTTGAATATTTTTATTTTAAATAAGCTGTTCCCCGCGACTTCGCCCGCGCGTATATAAGGGTTTTAGCTCTATTGCGCGTAGCCCTATTTTTTTTCTAAAATATAAGTAGACTATGTTACTCTTTATAACATGAGCTATCTATCTGTGAAAGTCCCGTCAAAATTGGTCGGATTAGCCGGAACAAACAGACAGACAAAAAGTTTAAAAATTGTGTTTTTGTTATAAGTGTCGTATATACTTTCATATGCGTTTAGTAAAAAGCTGTTTGACATTACAAACAGACACTTCAATTTTATTTATTTGTATAAATTTTGCGCACAAATGTTTATATGACGGCCTAAAGGCATTCTCTTTAAGTCATTAATTGGACTGTGTATATAAACTTAAAGGAGGCGGTACCGCAAAAAGCAAATTTAAAAAATATATTCAAACAAAGTTATATTAAAAAATATAATTATAATATATTACTCGTAAAACATCGAATTTGCCTAATACAAATGGTATTATGACTAGAAAAAGCGTCAGTAGCCTAATGGCAAGCCGCGGACCGCGAACTCGAAAGGTCGTGGGTTCGAACCCGCCATTCGACTACTGTCATGAACCACTTCTAACACAAGCATTTTAAGCTTACTAGAAGTGGTTAAAGGGAATATTAGTAATGTTTAATAGCATTAATAGTATTAAAAAAAAAGAAAATTAAAACCTAATTCGCAAATACACCCGGTTACTTCCGCGCGGAAATACGGCACTTTTCTTTATTGCATGCTATTTTTTATAGAATGAGGGTGACAAATGAACACAGTCCATCCGATTGTAAGTGGATGCTATACGCCATAGATATCTGGAGTTATCCACAATTACGAATCAAAATGCAGATAAGTTGTCACCCTTGAGGATTAAGATGAAATGCCTCGTTTCCAGTAGAAAGGGTGTCCGGTTCTTTACACTCACCACACGAAATGCAGCAGCATTATCCTGTTATTTTAAGCTGGTATTCTGTGAAAGCGTGTTCCTACCCCGGTTGAGCTGACCCATTCATCCTACAACTATAATACAGCTGCAGCGTGGCTCTGCCTCGTTAAAAATTTATGTATATTTTAGATGAAAGTAAAACAAGCAAAAAAGGTGTGCCAAAATCATGCCAAATGGAGGACTCTTATAGTATCCGATGGTTCTGTAGGTAGATTGTGTGAGAATTTGTATATTTGCAAGATATCAAGATATCCACCATATTGTAAGCTGCCGACAGATTTAGTAGAAGCGTTTTTCGTATATAAAATACGCTTGTTTGTAGTGTTTTATCATAAAGTTATTATATAATAAATAATTAATAGATTACTACTATTTGATTTTTTTAATCTGTACTAATAATAATGCGAGAATCTATGTGACCAACAGACACATCATACATGTCCTCGTCATGAGTAGCTCGTAAGAATCTAATGCATATGTAGACACCACTGAGGATTAAAATGGAATGTCTCGATTCCAGTAAAAAGGGTCTCCAAATTCCGTCATCCACACTACGAAACACACACAAGCACAGCATTATGCAAGCCGCTGGTCGAGACGACGTAAATTAGATCATGCGCATCCTTTATTATAATAAGTTGGTTTTCAGCCAGAGAGTATTTGGAAAGAAGAATAATATTCAGCAAGGGTTCAGTGGAGCGTGCAAAGTCAACAATAGACAGAAATTGCACTCTTAAGACATTGATGCCTCAGTTCTACGATTTTACAGATTTTAAGACTCAATACAAGTATTCGGACATTATGTAAGTGTTACTTGTTACTAGTTTTCTAAATCCCCCTACCACGATTTCTATTTATATATTATGTTGTTTTTTTTTGTATTCCAGACAATAAGCATAATTCATCAATCGAACTTACAATAAAATTCCTTAAAGATAGTTACTCAGATATTGTTACAGTATCCACTAAAATTTATAATTTTTTGTACAAATATAAATACAAACATTTCTAGCTATTTTGGACGATTTTTAAATATTATGACAACATCGTTTCAATTTATGTAAAACTAGTTTTACGAATTTTATCGCGTCTAATTACTTATTTTATATTCCCGATGTTTAGAATAAAAGCGTAAAACTAGTTTTAATTAAATGTGCAGTGTTCGCGTAAATGTAAGAATCATAATCATCGTTTCAAAATTAATTGAGCTATAAAATTAATTGCATACAATTTATTTTATAGCTCGTAGCTTTTAACTTTTTAAAGCGATTTCTTATATTTATGTGAATACTACGTATTGGAGAAAACTATTTTTATGGATTCTATCGTATTTAATTTACTTATTTTTAATTCAAGATGTTTCGGGTAAAGACTTGAAGTTTTGTAGTTGTGTACTTGGATTTAGATTTAATTTTATTAATTACAGGATCGCAAGCAGGAGGTAGTATCCAAACTCCTTCTCTATTTAAATTAGATTATTTTTTAATTTGAGTAGCCTCAGGTATCATCAGGATTTGTGGTCTATCAAAGCTCTTCAAACCAGCAAAAATATTTTTTTTGAATAAAAATAAAATATAACAGTCATCTGCATACAAACTATTGGATCTGTTCTGTATTTTACTATTACATAGGTATCAGGAAATTTATGTAAAATGGTTAATTAATTGGCTATAACCTACCACTGATTGGCACGTCCTCATAATGGCCATAGTCATAGTCATTTATTCCATACAACAATATAACATTATAAAAAATAAAGAATAACATTTGCATGCAATTAACTTAAATAAAATTACGATCGAATAAAATTTAAACATAATTTGACAATCATTTTACATTGATTAAATATTTTTCATGTTATAATAAATTATAAATTATCCAGTACATAATCAATAAAGTTAACATTCGTTAAGTTTATTTTTTCCATTTAGGTAATCGTCCACTGAGTAGTAGTTTTCCTTAATTACTAATGTTGTTTTTATAGGATAGGGTGACAAACGAGCACACAATCCACCTGATGGTAAATGGCGTAGAACATTCAATGTTGACGTAATAGAAATGTTTAAATATTTTCAACGGGTCTTTTCTCTCTTTTTCCTTTCACGTTTGTTTTATATTTGTGAAAGTTCTTTACTAAATATGTAAGTGAAACTAGGATATACTGAGATGGGATCGTTAATATGTAATATACACGACTCAGTTTGTGGAATACGTAACATAGTTAGGATCGCGCATTTTTGTAATACAAACGCTGCCTTAATATCATTACTAATATTATACTAGCAATCCGCCCCGGATTTGCACGGGTGATTTCTGGATCTCGACAATAGCATCACCCCCCGGGTCCAGTAGTGAATTTATAGAATAAAGATTATATTATTGGAAATAATCCTCAAAATTATTTAAATAAAATAACACTACTTGGTAACAAACCCTCCTTATTATCAGAAACCAATCAACCGATCATTATCAGCAACAAAACAGCGCACCGCACCATACACTCAGCACAGCGCAATACTGTTCTACCAAACGTAAAATATTCCCGTCACACACACCGATGTGACGTCATGGACCCAATTACATAATAAAACCAAAGTATACAAACCTACAGCAACATTACCCATTTCAATGTAACATAGGGTAGCCTCTCAGCAACACGATCTTCCTTGGCTACACTAGGAGAATGCTCCAACGGGTATAATAACGACAGTGATACTCGCTGAATTACCTTCTTAGTTTTTTTGCGCCTAATGCAAGGCTACCCTCCGGAAGCAGGGGAGGGAGGTGGTGAATGCTTATAGGATACCACGCAGCCAGTTGCGTGATTATGTGGGACTCACTAAGAAGTGCCTACCCACTAACACCACCTGTGGGACTGGCTTTGGCCTGTATGGCCTTTCGGCTGAATCACCTTTTTTTTTTCAAGTTGCACCAATTTTTCATGCAGTTTTCGACCGTTATAACATTTAAATTCGATTCTTTTGATTCTCTTTAAACATTTTTTAATTCATCATTTTAAAGTGATTTCATTAAAGTAATTTTAATTTGATGAAATGCGCCTTATGAAAGTTTATATCGTTTATAATTGTGCACGATTGATTCATTATGTAATTTTGAATTGTGTGATAAAATTTTGGGTGTTATTAATATTCTGCGAGCCAGAAGATCTATTCTTTAAATATCACGAGAAGAACCCAACTTCGTGCTTTACAATCACAAGAACAAAGAGAGGCAGTACGTCAAACGGCTCAGTTAGCAATGAAAGATCGTCGAGCTTATCGCACTGATTATCAACGTGATAATCTTCAACGCGCAAGAGGAAATACTTCAAGTTTTGATTTTAATCGAGTGGCGTTTCAATATGATTGCACAATTAAGTACAGCTTATTATTTCGTTCGAATTGGCTCAATGCAGGTTTTATGCGGTGAATTGAAGTTCGCTGGAGAGAGGCCTGGATTGTGTTGTCTCAGTGGGAAGGTAAAATTGGCATTATTTCCTCTGCCGCCTGAGCCATTGCATTTTTTGCTTCGTGGCAAAACACCATTTTCATGACATTTTATACCGAACACTCACTTATACAATGGATGTTTTCAAATAGCTTCATTTGGAGCAGGCATTATCAAATAAGGCGGATTTAACCCAACATTCAAGATTATTTCTGCTAGAGAGAGTTAATATTTATTTTCTTTTAACTATCATAAATTAGTAATTCTGACTTTACCTTCGATTTTACAGATCCAAGGCCAAATTCACTATCAAATTGGATCATTGCAACCGCTTGAAGACGCACAGAATGAATCCATACAAATTTACTTCATGAGAAATATGGAGTAACAGCTTGATCAGCGTCAAGCTATTAATACGACAATGAATACAGCAACTCTTGAAGATCTGCAGCAACTATTTCATGAAACATCATGCAATGATTCGGTTCTTCAAAACTGCGTTGGATCGCATGCCAAAAGATGACTACAAATTAGTGATAAGGGCGGATAAAAGACCCGCTAAAACACACAAACGCCAATTCAACAATACAACAAAAGATGTAGTTGCAATTGTGAAGAAACTTTACCTGACGACAAACATGCGAGTTACATGGCTATACGATCCATCTGACGAAGATTTCTCCAAGCAATTGCTGACTGTCGGTAATGGCCGCGTTACTAGAACGGATTTTCGTTCCCGAGCATAATTGCTAACCACAAAAACGCAATTGATTGAATGAGCAATTCTTCCGGCAAAGAACAAAGTTGTGAATGATTTAAACTTTACAATTCAAAATTGAATGGTTGGTTCACTGCATTCCAACAAATGACTGTATAACAAACGAAGAAAATGACATATGGTGCTTCAGTGAAAGGAGTATAGTTTAACAGAAAGTAGTGCAACAATGTTACGCGATTCATTTCAATTCCCAACAATAAAGCAAATACCTTGCTGCCACGTCAATTACATTAATGTCAATGTATTTTAATACCTTGCATTTTGATTTTTGTACATTTATTGGACTTTATTTAATTTGAGTATTCATTTTATTATATTATTATATTTCAATCTAAATTAAAAACTAAATTTGATTCACCTAATATGTTAACAAACATTTATTGATTCTGAGGCAGTACTATGTTCGCCAGGTTAGCTAGTATATTATATATTCTTCTATCCGTGTGTATGTGACTGAACTGCTCCTAGACTAGAGTTTAGTTTGAATTCACAATTGGACTCGGTAGGTGGCGTCGTTGTCAAGATCAAGAAATCAACCGTGTGAGGCCGGAGTGGATCGCGGAACTGTTGCTCCAGAATATTATGCTGTAACGAAGTTTATAATTCTAATAGAGCAAAATGAACCAAGTTAAAGTACTTTAATGTAAAAAATAATAATGGTTAAAATTATTAAAAAAAAAACCAGCAGGTCTATTTTCATCAGTGTTTTTTTCAATAAATCACATTTATCATTAACACTTACTTATCTTCACGCACAATCCCTGACGGGGTAGCCAGAGAGAACAGATCGCCAAGTGTCACGATCCTTACATATCTCTTTCGCTTCTTTCAGATTCATTATCTTCTTCATACATGCACGTCTAGGTATCCGAGTACTCTTGACCCTACCCTCTTCGAGCAATTTGCTCACATGGTCTTCGAAAGTTAGTCTCGGTCTACCTCGACACCTTTTAATATTAACTTTCGCGCTATATATTTTCTTCACCATTCGGTCTTCACTCATTCGCTCAACGTGCCCAAACCACCGAAGCACGCCCTTATCAATTTTTGTGATAAGGTCATCTTTCAAACCTGCCATATTGCGAATCATTAACAACACCACCAAAGACATTGTTTTGATACTTTGTTGACAATGAATGTGAAGTACCTTATTATTCGTTAATCGTAATCACCAGAAAAGTTGATTTTATTCAACAAATTATGTATATTTTTGTTCACCATACCTAGTTATATATTATGTATTAGTAAAACATTGGATATAATACAAGGTTTTTATGTCCTTGTTCTGTTCTCTAATTAATATACTCACATAATGTGAAACATAACCGATTTTAAAGTTTAATTCTTGTTCCATCCAAGGATCAAGTTTTGATAAATTGGACAGTCTTATTATGTTTTTTTTAATTATATTGTTATTTATTAGAAAAATAACAATATAATTTTTGCATATAACATTACATATCACATTATTCACAATAAATCATTAGCAACAAATAATATTATCAACAAATCCTGCTTTTATAAGTCTTCTAGGTATGGATATTATGGTCGAAATTGGATATAAATCTGAAATGAGGGAAAGTTATTTTTTAAGTGAATAAGCGATTAATCATGGCAATCAATCAATCAATCTTATAATTACAATACAGGTACGGGAAGTGAAACATCGGATAGCCGTTAACGCACTGATGTTTATTCGAAATAAAACGTAATGTGTGTATGTGTGTGTGTGTGGCCATGTACTTTGTAAATTCACAAAACTATAATATATATATATATATATATATATATATATATATATATTAATAATCATTTCTATTTTGTTTTTATTCATATTGCTATACCTACTAAAACAATTGCAATGCATTTCAAATAAGAACGAGAATGATCTCGGGATTATCTTCAAAAAAAAAAAACACTTAGTCTTTCTCTTAGTTAATACTAGCTTTTCCCTGCGACTCCACCCGCGTAAAATTTATTACGATTGGATTTTATGGGTTTCAACTTTTTTTTGCGCGGAATCTAAATTCCTTTTCTAAAATATAGGTAGCCTAAGTTACTCCTTATAACATTAGCTATCTGCCATTCAAAGTCCCGTAAAAATCGGTGCAACCGTTTCTAAGATTAGCCGGAACAAACAGACAGACGGACAAAAAATAAAAATTGTGTTTTTGTTATAAGTACCGTATATACTTTCATATGCATCTAGTTAAAAGCTGTTATTTTGACATTACAAACAGACACTTCAATTTTATTTATTTGTATAAGTATATAAATGTATAGATGCATAGATTAATGACTTACCTTACCTGCTAGAGATTAACCAAGATATAGTTAAATACATTCATTTGCAAAAAAAGGCCGGTTTTTATATTTTCCTGTCTGAAATAAATAAAATTGCCATGGTGTTTAAAAAAGTACATCTCAAATTAAGTTTTTGCCAAAGCCGGGTTTTTTAATAAAACAACTTTTTACTACATTTTGTAGCGCGGACTGTAAATTTTAAACAAATATCTAACAATCTAATAGTAGCAATAAAATTGATTTTTTTTTTGCTTAGACGCCCGCTTTGTTTTGAAAAGAGTTTACAAGGAGGTAAATAATCTTTATATGTATATAAAAATCAATTGGCGTCCGTTAGTCTAGTAAACACTCGAAAACGGTGGGTCCAATTTTGATGAACTTTTTGTGTGTACTTGAGTGGGTTCCCTGAATGGCTTAGATTTACAATCTTATTGCGCTGTTGTCGAGATCCAAAAATCACCCGTGTGAAGCCCGGGCGGATTACCGGTGCTGTATATAAATTAGTAGGTACACTGGTTTAACATCAAACATTTGCTTTCAAACGGTAAAGAACAAAACGGTGAATATCCACACGATCAAAATGTAACCGGTGAATATCAGTGTGCTTTTAAATGGGGAGGAGTAGAGTCTTGTTGAATCCACTGTTTTACTCGGAATCAGTTGACGCGAATTATAGGGATTACATGGGTTGCAACAAATAGATAACATTGTTTTATTTATTTCCATAGTATAATGTCATATGGAATTTTGCAATGGGGTAATGCTACTGACATTGGTACTATCATTGTTTTGCAGAAGTAAGCCATATGAGCAATTTAAAACCTAGGACCAAAAAATCTGATAAATTTATATTTTTTAAATTGTGGTGGCGCAGTCGTCGCGCCACAAGCGAAACACATCGAAGCCTAAATCGCACTAACAAAGTTCCGAACTTAAAGCACCATATATAGAATAGCTCCGAACTACCAATAGGAGTGTTGGCCGCTCCCTGGGCAGAACACCCTACCCGGCGGGAGATCTCCCCTTTTCCTTCCACACGCTACAATATAATAAACATGGAAATTAATATATGAATTATAGATTCATATTATATTAACCTATTTTATATGTTATGCATTATTATGTATCATTTAATAATACTCTGAAAGTAAATACGGCCCAGTAGCGCAATGGTTAAGCTTTCGGCTGTGACATTACGAGGTGCAGGTTCAAATACCGCATGGAAAAATTATTAACAGACGAAGAATTGTTTCTGGCCTGAACGTATGATTATTGTAGAGACAAATTTTTTACCTTAATTCTGACCGATCTCTCCAAAATGTGTGTTTGCAGCGTAACAATTTTTCGGGAGCTTCCATCGTCCCATCATATACCGGTGTCGGTGAATTCGTCCAAAAGACAATAATATACGTCCATAATATGAAATCGCTTAGTTGCCATTTACGTGACGGTTACCGTTTACCGCCTATATATATATATATATATATATATATATATATATATATATAATAATAATACAACTGTAGAATATAATACAACTGTAGCGTGGTTCATTTTCTCATTCAATGGAAACTTTACACATATTTTATGTAGGTATTATGACAAAACAATAAAAATCATGGAGATCACAAGCTTATTTATACTAATTACTATCACAAAATTTAATATAAAATATTACAAAACATTATTTTTAATAATGGACAGGAAAATTTGAATACAGGTTATATGCAAATATGGGGATATTTGTCATAGCTTCCATACATGGCAAGCGGGTTGAGTATCGCAAGCTTTATTTGTTATTAGGATAACTCTGCTACCCATCTCCTGGTTTGCTTCCTTCTGTCGTCTCTAACAACACCTAGGAGACGATATGGGCTAGTAGATAATCATACACTGCCACGAAACGGCCAAATTCAAGATCAAGATGTGTGTGTGTGCGCGTGCGCGTGCGTGCGTGCGTGCGTGTGTGTGTGTGTGTGTGTGTGTGTGTGTGTGTGTTTGTGCGTGCGTGCGTGTGTGTGTGTGTGTGTGTGTGTCGCACTTATGTGACATGTTAAAAGTGCAGCGTCAGAAAGAACTAAAGTTATGCTTGGCAGGCGAATTTACGATCGCAGCGCTAAACGTCTCGGATCTTTAGCACCGCTGCTGGTTGCCAGTCTCGGTAATTTACGTCTAATGTACAGGTTATATATGATTTTTTGACATTTTCTATAATCGCTTCTTACGATACCCACGGGCATATAATTTTATGCATCGATTAGGATGGCATTGGCCGTTAGCTTGGACATAGCGAAGGCCTTCGATCAGGTCTGGCACAAGGCGCTTCTTTCGAAGCTTCCTTCCTATGGGCTTCCCGAGAAATTGTGCAAATGGATCACCAGTTTCCTTGCTGATCGGAGCATCAAGGTCGTAGTAGACGCTTCATGCTCTGATTTCAAGCCTATCAACGCTGGTGTCCCACAAGGCTGCGTGCTATCACCAACGCTGTTTCTCCTGCATATCAATGATATGTTGCTAACTGGTAGCAGTGAGCTATGCAGATGACAGCACTGGGGATGCCTTATATACCGGCCGTGCCAATATTTCTCGGGAAGACGTCGCCGAGTACCGGGACAAACTTGTGTCTGAAGTCAAGTCTTTGCTTAACAAAGTCTCGGATTGGAGCCGACTAAATCTAGTCCAGTTCAATCCCCAGAAGACACAAGTTTGCGCGTTTACCGCTAAAAGGAACCCCTTTGTCATATCTCCTCAGTTTCAAGGCACTCCCCTTGCTGCCTCAGCTAGTATCGGAATCCTTGGCGTCGACATATCAAATAGCGTGCAGTTTCGTGGTCACTTGGAAGAGAAGGCCAAATTGGCCTCTAAAAAGCTTGGCGTGCTCAGCAGACCGACACAGTATTTCATGCAGGCACATCGCTTGCAACTTTACAAAGCACAAGTTCGGCCCCACATGGAGTACTGTTCTCATCTCTGGGCCGGGGCACCCCAGTGCCAGCTCCCACCACTTGACCGCATCCAGCGCAGAGCGATTCGAATCGTCGACGACCGAGTTCTTTCCGATCGGCTCGATATACTGGCATTGCGTAGAGATGTTGCATCTCTTTGCGTATTTTATCGCATCTATCACGGGGAGTGCTCTGAGGAATTGTTTGGACTAATTCCAGACGCTCAATTTCACCATCGCACGTCGCGACAAAACTCGCATTACCATCCGTACCATCTGGATGATTGGCGGTCCACCACTGTGCGATTTAGAAGAAATTTTCTCCCTCGCACAACTTCTTTGTGGAATCAATTACCACCAGCGAATTTTCCGAACCGATACTACCTAGGAACCTTCAAGAAAAGAGCTTACACCTTTCTAAAAGGCCGGCAACGCATCTGCAATTCCCCTGGTGTTGCGGTTGTTCATGGGCGGCGGTAGTCACTTACCATCAGGTGAGCCGCATGCTCGTTTGCCCCCTATTCTATAAAAAAAAAGGATGAGAACGGGGACACCCCTCACCATTCTCATAGTTATAGCAAATGTTTATAATTCCATAATGCATTAATATTTTCAGATGGGATGGGTTATTACCTAAGATGACTGACGACTATTACAGGATTTACGTGATAAAAAATGTTGGAAAACGATTTGACCATAGTATGATGAGTTATTTTCAATGGGTCATTGCGGTAAGAATTTTTTTTATTTCTTTTTGTAATGTTCTGTTTTGTAAATTTTCTAAACTAATAGATAAGATTTGCGAGTATTAACACCGCGAGTCCGTATAGGCGTATACGATATATAGTCACAGCCACTATGAGCGAAAGCTTTTTCGGCTTGTGTAACTCTTTGTCCCGGTAAATCAGCCATTAAATGAAATTGCAGGCGGTTTTAAATTAAAGCAAGTATTACACTTATTAATTATATCCTGAATAATTTGTCTAGCAGTTAAAGTTAGTTAAAGTTACAGCCTATGTACGTCCCTCTACTGGGCTTAGGCCACAGATTTCTGAGAGGGTTTTGGGGCAAGGAAGTGTCTACCGCAATCCCCCAGTGCTTGTTGGCGGACTTCACATGTCTTCGAAATAGTTTTTATTTATTTATTTCTCAGAAATGCTGGTTTCTTCATGATGTTTTCCTTCATCGCAGAGCACGTGGTAAATCAGCACTTAAAATTGCAATTAACAATTTCATTGGTGCCTACAGGGATCGAACACGGGTTGCTCGCGTACTATGAAATTTACAGCGCGCGTTAAGCCCTTGAGCTACCGCGGCTTTTACTCCTCTTAGCACGTCCTCAGCACGACGCTGCACTCATGATAATTTACCGATTTTTGTCTAGCAGATAAGATTCATAATCACTGTCTTAACAAAGACATGAGCAGCTCTGAGCCGTCGTGTAAATATTTTTTTATGATAACAACGGATCAACGATTCAACAAGAGCGTCGTAATGTGGTAAAATAATGGAAAATTTGAATTCTGAACTTTTAGCGGAGTTAAGTGGATAAGGCTATCATATAAAAATAGTATAAGCTTCATTAACGCGGGAGAGCAATTTTTATCGGGTCCTAGCTGTAGAATGACGAATGTAAAATGTCTTTTTTGAATATCACCTATTATCATACGTTCTGACGCGAACGTGGTAATTGCTATCGAATCGGGCCAAGGTAATTTATTTATGGATCTGCAGATATATACAAGGAAGCGCTTGAGCTTACTACATGAGGTGATGATTTCTAGATAAAATCTTGCGACGTATAGACGTGAACATAGCTAGTAGACCTCGTAGTATACCAGCTATAGTTCTAAAGGTCTGTGCGCCTGAGTTGTCTCCTGTGTTAACGCACTTATTCCGTATCTAGTTCAGGACTACAATAGTGCCCAAATCTTGGAAGCTAACCAATGTGTAGCTTGTATTTAAAATTGGCAGCCGTGCTAGCTGATAACCGATGGCCCATTTATTACTGCAAGATTATGGAGCGTATATTGAAAACCCACCTCGTGGTAAACCCAGAGCAGAATGACCTCCTCAGTGGCTGCAAGTACGATTTTTGCCGAAACTGATTAACTAGGGACCTTTTAGCGTATGTCACTCACATATGGGGCGAATCCCTCGAGAACAGTGGAGAAGCAATTGCTGTTTCCCCTGATGTCTCGAATTTTGACAAGGTTTGGCAGGCTAGCCTTTTGGGCAAGCTTCCAGCGTACGACTTATCTCCTGGTTAGCTAGCAAGGGTGCAGCGGTACTTCATGCCGGGACAGCTTTTTACCTTACATCAATCTGCTGTCACATATGGGCTGGCACTGCAAAATAGCACCTAGCAGCGTTGGACTCAATGGAGAGTCGTGCTAAGAGATTTATAAGTAATCTTGATTTGGTTGAAACCAATCTTGTTAGCCTAGTTTAGTAAGGCTCCATTTAAAGGAGTGTTTACGAGAATTACATCCTTTAATTCCTCCCTCTCCTTTCCACCATCGGACAACCAGGGGGTTGGTGGCTCTTCATCCAGTTTATGTCGATATTCCACTTATTAGAACAAAACTCATTTTATTTAATTATTTCTTGCAACAGAAATATTATGTCCGACAACTGCTCTATATAAGGCACCTACAGAATAACAGCGCTGTGACTGTGTCGAATGTCTTTTTTGTAGCTGCAACCCAATATGTGATTTAATTAATAGAATCAGTTGTTACTTTGCGGAAATCCATTATATAAAATATGTGATTTTTTATTGGTATAGAGTAAGTGTGAAATCATCCAGTCATTCAACGGGAGAGGCCCTTTCCCAGACTTTTATAGTATGATGAAGAAGGGGAAGAAAACAGATTACATAAAGAATTAGGTTTTTCTTATAATTTCCTCCAAAACAATCAATTGCATAATTAATATTAATTATCTAAATAAATTTTTAACTATAACAATTTTGTGTTTTTTTTTTAAATAATATTAGCTCGTCACATTCCACACCCATTTTTATATGTTTATTTTCAGATGGCAGAATACTTCACTGCGCATGATTATAACCGAGGTTTAATAATAATTATAGACTATTTGGAGACCAATCTTATGGAACTTTTAAAGACAATTGACTTTGTAGAATTCCGACAAGCTCTTACATTATTAATGGTAAGTATCTGGTAAAGTAATTACCTAAATTACTTTTATTTTTCTTTTACTTTATATTCCCAATTTGCTGATGATATTTAATGTCTTAACTGTACTTAAGCCCCTTTTATATTTTATTACCATTAAAAATTATGTATTATATTTTTCATTCATTCTTTAAAGTATTAAAAGTCTACTGCTGACTTCCACCGTAGATTGACTAGAATTGGTATAATACGCATAATTCATAACTATTATTAAAATGTATACTATTGATTATTATAATTCTATTTAACCTGTGCTTGACCACTACCCTACCCAATGGTAAAAGGTGATCTATCCGAGGATAGTAAACGCACTGACTTAACTGATCTTTAGATCAGTGCGCCAGTGCCATCAATCCGGTCCGTAAAAGCTTAAGACTAGTATCATCAATCTGGCCCGCGACAGCCAGTCTTATTGTTGTTAATATTGCTGCGATAAGTTGAAGAAGAAAACACAGAATAGTAGTTACACGGTTTTATTTACTTGAAAGGTAAAACTTAACGACAGAAATGGTGACACGGCAAACTTAACTTAAGTGTCTAAGCTTAAACATATTAATAACTAACCAATAATTGAAATGAATCCCACTACTTGCAGTAAAACAAAAAATACTGATGAGATTTAAGTAATTGTAATTTTCCACCGACAATAGTTTGTGGATGTAGATCAATTTTACTTATACCAATTATTTTATGCAAATAATTAAATTTTACTAGTGTAACACTCTTACGAAATTCCAAAAAATATGTATATTGATACTGTAAATCAATAATTTCTATTTAGACTTCAGGAGCCAGGGTTTCAATATCAGAATTGAAATTATTTTGAAAAATCTTAATTTAATTCGCAATGACATCAAAATCTGAGAAACGAATATCAAAATTTATCTTTAAAGCACTCAAAGTTTCGATTGCAAAACCAACGAGAAAATCAATTTTTGTAGTGTGGCTGAACATTTCACATGTTTTAAAATGTGTGAAACATTTTTTATGTAATTGCGATCAAAATACTATTATTTTCTGCCTGAAGGATTTTATATTTGCGTATAAATCAGAGAGAATATGATTTTCTCCTCGCAATGTCAAATTCAGTTCGTTCATAAGATTTGTCAAATCGATGTAGTATGCTAACTTTCACAGCCATTCACTATTTTCTGAATCGGCAAAAGGACGATGCTTCTCATTCAAAAAAAATTCGATCTCTGGTCGAAGTTCATAAAAGCGCTTAAGTACTTTTCTGCAAATAAACCACAGCCATACAGTACGGCAGTACGATATAGTAAGTTATTTTCTCCTATATCTTCTCGCGAAATTCAAGATTCAGCCCAGTGGATCTGATGATATTATTAACTGATATGACTGGTTTTAGAACTTCAGACATATTCAAACATTTTCCGCACAAGGACTGTTGATGAATGATGCAATGTAAGACTAACGGTTTTAAACCATCATCATTTTCTATAGCCCTTGACATAAATGCAACCACTCCTTTATTTTACCACACATATTTTTGCCTCCGTCAGTTGTGATAGATTTCAATTTTTTCCATTGAAGGTTCTTATTATTAATGGCATTTTCAACTCCCTTAAAAATATCTGCCCCAGTTGTCGTGCCGTGAATACTATCAATATCAAGTTCTTCATACACTTCATAGATTTATCCACTCCGCAAATATATATCAACACCTGAGTAGTATCGGACACATCTGTTGACACATCCAAGAGATGTCAATTTTTTTCAGACAGTTGAGATAATACATTTTCTGCGATGTCTTGCACCCTCCGAGCCACAGTGTTTGCTGACAAACTGACACTTTTAAATAATTGTAATGTACCATAGGCTTTTCAAGTTTTCCGATTTCAAGAGCCACACGAAAGTTGCAGATTCTTGTTCAGTAAACAAAGATTGCTGCAATTTCAGTCCGCGCTTAAATATTCAAATTTTTCCGTCCGCAAACTTCCTGTATATTTGGAGTAATTTTGAAGATGTTTCAATGCATAGTGTCGTTTTATGTTATATGTTTTTTGCGAACATCTATGGTTCAATTACAAACTAAACATAACGCTTTATTACAGGACTTAATCGCAAAATACAGAAAGTTCCATTTATCTTTGAATGTTCTGCATTTACTGTCTATTTTTCGCTTCTTGTCCATACTAATAAATCACTCATAAAAACAATAAGTTAAATCAAAATGCTGTTATGCATGGGTGTTAATTTATTTCACAATAGATATTTTTGCTTCCTTCGCCTTTCCTACGAAAACTGACTCACGGTTGCACCGCTAGTCAGTTTTTGTAGGAAGAGGTCCGCTTTTTATATGCAATTACTGCCATTTCAAGTTTCTCAAAACAACGTAGAAATTCCGAAATATTTAATTACAACTACATAATGCCACCTATTAATGGGTAGCTTAAATACATAGAACATAGTACTAGGTAGCCGGCCATAAATACTAGCATATTTGTAGATAAGTAATATTACTTATGTAGAAATTGATAAGTATGGCGCGTTGGTATATTTTGTTTTCGCAGTTTTCTTTTTACGGTTTACGGTTTTAATAATTTTGCTTTACATAGCTAAGTATTTGAGTGTCTTTTGAGAATATTTTACATTTAATGAAATCGAATAATTTTGTTTATTAAGTATAAAATATTTTACTCGACAAAATATTAATAGTTAGTTTAGCATTTAGATGTGTGAAAAACGTACAAAAAATCTTCAGTTAAGTCTTTTGAAATTAAATTTTGTTTTGATTAAGATTCGTTAAGTACGTACAATTTATATATTGATTTACAAAAAGTTTTATGTATTTATATGTTCATATATGGCCAAAGTATGTTATTATACTACAGTCGCAAATTAGCTGTATAAAATCTTACATTTTAAGAGTCCAGAACTTGAGAAGTCTTTTGTTATTCTTGGACTGAGGCAAAAGGCAAACGTGGAGCTAACGAAGTGTGCACCATATTAGAAAAATATATCAAGATAGTAGACGATCGTAGGTCAGTCAGACATCTTTTGTTTTATAGCGATGCCTGTCCCGGACAAAATAAAACAGAATTGTTCTTGCATGCATTCATACTCATCTGCAAAATTACAAGAACATTGCCAGCATTCAAATGAATCTCATCAATCATCTCTATTTGTGGAAACTTTGTACATCAAAGATAATTCTTGAAATGTACCGTATCACTATGAATATAAAAAAAAATTCCTTGAGCTGTTAATGTTCAGGACACCCTTCAAGATACGGATGTCGAAGACATTATCTAATTATAAAATTTAAAAATTATTGATTTCTTATTTTACGCGAACACTACAAATTTAAATAAAAGTAATTTTACGGAATTTATCGCGTATATAAACTTATTTTATATTCACGACGTTTCAAGCACTTTACATCACCCATGGTCACGAGTGGGACTGAGGTGTATGACGTCCCAATGTCATAGTTAACCACGGCTACCTCCAGATTAAAAGTTATTAACTTCTTTCCGATCTACGCAGTATGAACTTACAGTATCTTAAAGTCTTGCAGTTGTATGCTTGGGTTGGGATTTAATTTTATTAATTATGGGATCTCAAGCAGATGGTAGCACCCATCCATCTTCTGTATTGAAATTGGTATGTTTGTTTGATTTCAATAGCCTTGTAAATTATCCTCGGAAGGAATCGGTGTTCTTTAGCGAGGATTTGTGATCTATCAAATGGAATGTAGTGACGGGAGCGATCCTGTACGTGTTCACAGACTGCAGACTTTCCGGAGCGTACAAATAACACACTTAAAACAACTAGTGACCTCATAAAGAAACACTCCGAAAAATAAATCTAGACGTAAAATCGATAATACCTACGTATGCCAAACCACCGAAGTTGTATGGGTTACCAAAATACACAAGCCCAATGCTCCACTACGTCCCATAGTGAGCCAAATCGATTCACTAACTTACAGATTGGCTCAGCACTTAGCGAAAGTACTCTCACCGCTCAAGGGATACACAAGAGCACACACAAAGGATTCCCACCAATTTGTCAGCGAGATTAAAGACCTACATCTAACAGACAATGAAACCATGGTCAGTTTTGATGTGCAGTCTCTGTTCACATGCTTACCTGTTGAATACTGCATCTCAATTGTTACTAGAAGGCTGGAGGTAAACAACATGCCCGTAGAATATGCAGAATTACTCGGACACTGCCTTACATCTGGCTACCTATTGTGGAAGGAAGAGTTCTACAAGCAAGTAGATGGCGTAGTGATGGGCTTACCTGTACTCCTATTATCGATGATATATTCATGGAAGACTTTGAGGAGAAAGACCTGCTTACTTCTCCCGTAAACCTAAGATTCTAAAAGCGGTACGTAGACAACACTTTCACAATTCTACCTTTAGATAAAGTAAGTGCATTTTTAGACCATATTAACTCCATAAATTCTAAAATTCAGTTCACAATGGTATTAGAGCAAACAATTCATTAGCTTTTCTTGATGTATTAGTAATTCGGAATCCTGATAACACCTGTAACTGGATTTAATTGTAACACCTTGAGCTACACTGTGTATAGAAAAAAGACTCATACCGATAGATATTTAAACGGTGATTCTCATCACAATCCTTCACAGTTAGCTAGCGTGGGTAAATCACACCTGGCCGCCGAGCTCCAACACTTCAAGCAAGTTTTCATAAGAATATGCATCGGGTCCCACGCCTACGTCACAGTGAAAGAGTGAAATAGGCCACAGTCGAGCGAGTACCTGCTGTACCGCTATATGTCAGAGGTGTCACCGAGAAGATGAAGCTACATCTTGAAGCGTGCTTCTATTAAAACATACTTCAAGCCGCCAAAGAAGATTAGTCAGTTTTTGCCATCAGTGTAATCATCAAGTGTAATGTCCCCCTGCAAGATGCAAGAGTGTACAAGCTTGATTATGAATGTGGTCTCTCTTATATAGGACCAACCAAAAGATACATA